GAAACAAAAAACCCCTAAGAAAAAAAAAAAAAAGAAAGAAAGAAGATGCATGGAAAGTTTAAGGCTGCCACATGGCCTTCCAAGGGGTGATTGGAAGGAACCATTGAACGAGTGATGACTGATGGGAGTCAGGGTGAAGGCCCTGCTTGGGGGAGGACACGCAGGACCTGAGCTTGGCACCTGAGCTTGGCAGGTGAGAGGGCTTGGTACCCGAGCGGGAAACAGCACACGCCCAGGGTAGAAAGCACCTAGCACTTCAAGTGGCCGGTTAGCTTGGCTGAAAGGAGGCCACCTGTGCAGGAGAGTGGGACAGGACCAGAAGGCCAGCTCTGAGATGGACAAGGGCTGGCAGAGTCACGCTGAGAAATATCCTGGGGTCAAGACACACTCATGAGTCTCAGATCAGATCCCAACCTTCCACTTAGAGAATTAACCTTCTACCAAAGAACCGTTGCCGCAGCTCAAACCCTGACACACGCACAGTTGCAGCAACCTAGTTCGGCTTCTTTAAAAGCCTCGAGCACAATTAGAATGCGAGACTCCTCTGCAGCAGGGCTGCTGGCTCAGTCTTCGCTGACTCCCAGCACCCCAGGCTGGGTAACAGCAGGGAGGGCGGGAAAGCGGGAGGGAAGAAAGAAGGAAGGAGAGTGATTTTGAAGTAAAGTTCATGGCAAACTGCTCCTTCTCTTCAGGCGGGCTGTTCTGTAATAATAAACACAAGGCAATTACATTCTGTCGTGTGGTTATTAAATTTGGGGGAAACAAATACAATAAAATGCAGACATTTGTAGAGAGGTTGAAAATAAAATAAAAGTGGAGGATAAAAATAAAATCGATAACCACAGGTTTCCTGAAGCCTACCTTAAAGACGCTGCACGAGAGCGAGGATAAATGCAAGCAGCCAGCTAAGGCACCACGGGGTGGAGGCTGCAGACAGAGGGCATAGGAAAGGCTGCGCTCCCGACGCTGCCAGCCTGCTCCGCCTGTACCCGAAGCCTCCGGGGAAGCAGTAGGGACCTGGCGTGTCGCAGCAGTAAAGCACAACACTCTGTGAGGCCGACCCAGACCCTACTGGGGGTGCTGTCTCTGCATCTTTCTCTCTCTCAAAATAAACAAAAAACAAACCGGCCAGCCAGCGGCATGGTGGTTAAGGCAGCTGGAGGCCCCCTGGCCCACTGGAGAGGGAGAGGGAGAGAAGGATTTGTGGCGTGACCATCTCCCACGGAGGGTGCTTTCTCACTTTCCCTCTCTCTCCATCTCTCTCTAGTTAGCACAAGAGCCCTCTGACTTTTTAAAAAATGTTTAATTTAAAAAAAAAAAAAAAAGGCAGTGGAAGCCTGAGCTCAAGATCTAATGAGAGTGGGTTTGATCCTGGCGACACCTCTCCCAGCAGAGCCATGGAGGCATGGGCAGATAGCTCAGGGCCATGGTCTTCCCCATGCGGGAGAGGGCAGCAAGGGGATTCCTCAGCAGTCTCTGGGCTAAAGTGCATACCCAAGGGCTGTTTTGGTAAGTGTCACCTACTGGAAGTAGTAACTCATTCTATTTTTGGAGAGGTTTTTGCTATAGGGCACATGTGCGCTCACCAGAAAGACAGAAAGTCTCTCTAGAGACAGAGAGACAGAAAGCAAGAACTCACCCCCCAGGGAAGATGACCACGCTGCAATCCCTTCTCCTCCATTCTCCTCTCGGGATGACATGCACGCACACGCACCCAGCGTGAGTTTAAGCCACCAGGTCCGGGACTCGAACTGCAGTTGACAACATGGGAGTCCAGCAACATAACCATTATGCCAACTGCTGGTCCCAGTAGTGACTCATTTTTATTGTACACCGATTTGTAAAGGAATTGAAGCAGCAGGTGGGTGCGCTCCATCAGCCGGAGAGAGGAGCAGGAGGATTTGCTGTGAGATTAGGTGTCCTTCCCAAACGAGGAAAAGGAGGGAAGAAGTTCTTCAAGGATCATCCCTTTCCTTAAAACCCTCTATACGGGTGTCCAGTGCACAGGTCTAATGAATCTTAAGTCAAATCGAGCAAAGCCAAGCTGGGAATTTGGGGGCTGCAGGAAAAGAAGGGAACAGGGGCCAGGGGAGGACATGAGCTGGCGGTGGTAGGAGAAGGCGGCGGAGGGCAGAGAACGGGAAGCCAGGACCGTCCATCACATTCGCGGAGCTGCACTATTAATCTAGACCAGAAGGGGGCAGGGCTGCTGAAAGTAGAAGGGAGAGCGCAAATAGAAATCTTGACCCTTTACAGACACCGTACTGAGTTTCTTACGTTGGGCGGGCTTAACCTCCCGGAAACGGAAGTTCTGCCCTTTTCCGTCCTCTTCGTTTCTGGCTGTCGGCAGTGAGTGTCTCTCGGGCTGTAAGCGGGCAAGTGGGGGGCAATCCGGGGTAATCCAGGGCCAGGTGAAGTCTGGGGGCCCCAGCCCTGCATCGGGGGTGTGGGGAAGCAGGAGGAAGTACGATAGGGCTGGGATTTCGAGGGGGAGGCGGGTGAAGCAGCCCGCGCCCTGTTAACGCCGAGATCTGTTCCCGCAGGTGCTGTCGGCGCCCTCTCCCCGTGCTCCCCGCCATGGTGAGTACGGCCCTGCCCCGGGGCGAGGGCAGGAGGTCTTTCCGAGGGCCTGCGGAGGCGGGTGGGCTTGGCCGCCGGGAAATGGGGGGCTCAGCGGTTTATTCTCCGTTCTCTTTGTGTTGCAGCCTCGGAAAATTGAGGAAATCAAAGACTTCCTACTAACAGCTCGACGAAAGGACGCCAAATGTGAGTGGTCGTTCTGCGGGGTCGCGACGAGCGGGTGGTGGCGATGGCGTTTAAGCGGGGGCTCGGCGGCTCTGTCATCTTCCTGTAAGGAAGCGCGTGGAGGGTTCTCAGGGCCCTTTCCTTGGCTGGCTGGGAGACCGAGCCGGCCGCCCCCCCTTCTTCGTCCTCGGGATGACATGCACGCACACGCACCCAGCGTGAGTTTAAGCCACCAGGTCCGGGACTCGAACTGCAGTTGACAACATGGGAGTCCAGCAACATAACCATTATGCCAACTGCTGGTCCCAGTAGTGACTCATTTTTATTGTACACCGATTTGTAAAGGAATTGAAGCAGCAGGTGGGTGCGCTCCATCAGCCGGAGAGAGGAGCAGGAGGATTTGCTGTGAGATTAGGTGTCCTTCCCAAACGAGGAAAAGGAGGGAAGAAGTTCTTCAAGGATCATCCCTTTCCTTAAAACCCTCTATACGGGTGTCCAGTGCACAGGTCTAATGAATCTTAAGTCAAATCGAGCAAAGCCAAGCTGGGAATTTGGGGGCTGCAGGAAAAGAAGGGAACAGGGGCCAGGGGAGGACATGAGCTGGCGGTGGTAGGAGAAGGCGGCGGAGGGCAGAGAACGGGAAGCCAGGACCGTCCATCACATTCGCGGAGCTGCACTATTAATCTAGACCAGAAGGGGGCAGGGCTGCTGAAAGTAGAAGGGAGAGCGCAAATAGAAATCTTGACCCTTTACAGACACCGTACTGAGTTTCTTACGTTGGGCGGGCTTAACCTCCCGGAAACGGAAGTTCTGCCCTTTTCCGTCCTCTTCGTTTCTGGCTGTCGGCAGTGAGTGTCTCTCGGGCTGTAAGCGGGCAAGTGGGGGGCAATCCGGGGTAATCCAGGGCCAGGTGAAGTCTGGGGGCCCCAGCCCTGCATCGGGGGTGTGGGGAAGCAGGAGGAAGTACGATAGGGCTGGGATTTCGAGGGGGAGGCGGGTGAAGCAGCCCGCGCCCTGTTAACGCCGAGATCTGTTCCCGCAGGTGCTGTCGGCGCCCTCTCCCCGTGCTCCCCGCCATGGTGAGTACGGCCCTGCCCCGGGGCGAGGGCAGGAGGTCTTTCCGAGGGCCTGCGGAGGCGGGTGGGCTTGGGGGCCGGGAAGTGGGGGGCTCAGCGGTTTATTCTCCGTTCTCTTTGTGTTGCAGCCTCGGAAAATTGAGGAAATCAAAGACTTCCTACTAACAGCTCGACGAAAGGACGCCAAATGTGAGTGGTCGTTCTGCGGGGTCGCGACGAGCGGGTGGTGGCGATGGCGTTTAAGCGGGGGCTCGGCGGCTCTGTCATCTTCCTGTAAGGAAGCGCGTGGAGGGTTCTCAGGGCCCTTTCCTTGGCTGGCTGGGAGACCGAGCCGGCCGCCCCCACTTCTTCGTCCCCTGCGTGTGCGGGGCTCTCGGCGGCATCGGTGCTGCACGCTGTCCGGGCACGGGGGTCTGCCTGCTGGGACTTGTGCAGGCCTCGTTTTCTGCCTGGTTAGCAAGGGGAGGAGAAATGGCTGAGAAACACGCCCGGCTCTGAGCGCGCGCGTTGCTCTAACTCAGTCTTCTCTGCCACGGGGACTAATTTCTGTAACCTCTTTGCCTACCTGGACGGTCCTGCAAACAGAATCAGGGAATTCGTGGAAGTGGAGCTGCCCTGGGCGGACATAGTAAGGTGCCAGCCACCTCATACTCTGCCCGTGGAGGGACCCAAGGATAGTTCGGCACACGGGGTTGGCTGTGTCCCCATGACCTGAACCGCGTCGTTGCCTTTGAACCTCTGGTCCTGGGAACTGGTGCCCACCCGTGGGGACGTTGTCTGCCTGTCCCTGGTGGAGGGGCAGGTGCCGTGGAGGTTATCAGGGCCGTTCTGGTTCAGGCCGCCCACTGCGGGGTCCCTGCTCACCTGTAGGTGCGTGAACACCCTCTGTTCCATGAGAGGAGCGGCGATGGTATGTCCGTGTGGCATCGGTGCAAGGATCAGGCTGGAAGCCTGTAGCGGGTTGAAGTGGTACCAGATGGGCCGGATTTGAATTTTGCAAGTGTGTGCACTGGCCTGAGGGAGCGCACGCAGCCCCCAGTGGGACTGGGCAGACGGCAGAAACTTCTCCATTTCCCCTTCTGGTCAGGACTTGGGGTGAGCACGCATACCTGGCGTGTTTTTAAAGCCAAATTCAAACTGCACTGTGTGCTGTGTGGGATCTGGTTCCCTTAACCACCCGGCAAGGGGGTTGGCCCAGTGTCACCTTTTTCTTTTTTACTGTACTGTGAGGCACATGCACTCGCAGTGCTCGGGGGTGAGAAAGCACCCCACGGGAAGATAGCCTTGCCACAGTCTCATCTCAGGATTTTGGACGCGGTTGCAGGCACACCTGGCGTGTTTTTCAGGCTGTGGAGTCCACACAGTTGGTCTTCCACCGTGCATTGGCCCTTCATTGCGTATTTAAGGTGATAAGTCACCCCCTCCTGGCAGGGGTGGCCATGCTGCAGTCCCTTCTCCGTGCTCCGGATTCGGGGCACACAAGCAAACGCACTGGCATGTTTTTCAGCCACCAAGTCAGGGACTCAGACCACGCAGCCAGCCACGTGGGATCCAGCACCTTAGCCTGTGTAAGGCCACCTGTGGCACCAGTCTTAAACTTGTTTATAAGTGACCAGAGGTGCGTGTGCTGACCAGAGCACGACAGACAGGACAGCACTCCCTGGCGGGGTGTGATCATGCCGCGATTCATTGTTCATCCTGTTGGGATTTGGGGCACACACCTGATGTGTTTTTCAGGCCACCAGGGTTGGGATTTGAACTGTGGCATCTGGCTCCCTTCCCCACTAGCCTGCAGCTCCAGCCACCATCCCGGCCATCCCTTTTACAAGCGGTTCCGTGGCGTTTAACACGTTGGCTCCATTGCAGCCGGCAGCACTGTGGATCTGCAGAGCTTTTCCATCTTCCCGTCCGAAGCATTGTCCCCATTCATTGTCCCCATTCAGCGGTAATGCCCGTTCCACGTGCCCAGCCCCTGGCAAACCACCATCCTGCTTTCCTCCTCTGAGCGCCGTCACTCTGCGTGCCTTATAAATGGAGTCATGGCGGTGTCCTCATTCCGTCCTCGCTGTAGCCCGAGTCCGCTTTACTCCTGAGGGGCGCACTGTGGGTGGGCCACGTTTTGTTCGTTCGTTGATGGGCACTGAGTGGCTTCCACACTCTGGCCGCTGTAAATGCTGCTGCTGTGAACGTGGGTGTGCAAGTATTTCTTATGTTTGCTTTTGGTTCTTTGGGGCATGCACCCAGAAATGGAATTGCCTCTTCATGGGACAATAGAGATCCACATCTGCACAGCCTTTGGCTGCGGCGTTGGGAGTGCAGCAGCGGGTAGCGACCCTGTAATCAACCATTTCTTTCTTTGCCAATGGGCGCCTGTGTAGAAAGGGGAGGTTCCGCCCAGTGGGGCACGGTCACACCACAGTCCCTATCCCTCCACTTCTCCCTCCATTGGGATTTTGAGCACACGTGCACACATACTCAGCATTTCAAAGCTGCTGGGGCCGGGGCTCAAACCTTGGTCAGTCACGTAGGCTGTGACTCCAGTGCATGGTGCTTTAACCACTCCTGTGGGGCCAGCCCACACGGCAGTCCTTTTTCCTCCAGTTCTGCATCCCATCAGGATCCTGGGCATTTACCCACAGTGTTTTTCAAGCTGCTGGGGCTGGGACTTGAACCACGGTTGCATTGAATTCCTGTGCACAGCACTTAAGTGCTTTGGTGTTGGTCTGGCCCAGTGTGGCATGCTTGCCGTTGGAATGGTGAAATGGGTGGATTTCAATGGATTGGAGGAATTTACTAATAACATACGGCGAGGCAGCCAGGGTCTCAGGCTGGCTCTGAGCCGCAGCTTCTGCCTCCTGGGCTGCTGCTCCCGCGGCAGTGCTGGTAGATGTGGGTGAGCACACGTTACTCTCCAGCCCTGAGCCCAAGCGTCACGGCTGTCCGTGTCTGGCTGCGTGCTGCATTTGGAACCCTGGAGCTCAGTTTAGCCCGGCCACCTCCCTGCCGTCACAGTGAGCTCGGGTACACGAGATGGCCGACCCGCTCCTGGGAAGCAGTTCCAACAGCCAGAGAGCTGCCGGCCCACAGAAATGCGGTGACACTGGTGTACCGGACTGCAAAATTTCAACCCTGCACTGTGGAATTTGAGGAGCTCGTGGGTTTGCTCTTGTCTGAGCGGAGTGCCAAGGTTGATGGCAGGGCAGTGAAGAACCCAGAAGCAGGGAGACCGGGAGTTACTCAGTGTAGACTGAGGTCCTGTGCTCATGTGGCGGGCGCTGCTCCCACGATAGCTGGGAGGGGGCAACTGCATGTTCTCGCCCAAAAACATACAAGTGTGAGGTGGTGGCGTGACGAACACCCCAGTTTGATCATGACGTGTGCGCGTGTGAGAACAGAACAGCTGCATTCCATAAACGTGTAGTATTAGGTGTCAATTAAAAATCAGTTTGGTTTGAAAAATAAGGTCAGCAAATCCCTGTATTTTAAATATAATATAAACCAGTTAGAAATTGAATAAGCCTGGGGCGCTTGGACATTAATGGGATTGAAGTATAGATTTCTGGCACCACTTGTAAATTTTGAGGTCACTGAAGGACAGGCAGTCTTGCTTTGTACTATAAGGGGGGGGGCCCATCTCTGTCCGTGGTTGCTGATGACAAAGCTGTAGTCACTTGAGTGACCATGGCTGCGTGGTGTGAAGCACACGATGTGACATGTTTCTGTGTTCCACATTTCTCATTACTCTGGTCTCTTTGGTAGCTGTCAAGATCAAGAAAAATAAGGATAATGTGAAGTTTAAAGTTCGGTGCAGCAGATACCTTTACACCTTGGTCATCACAGACAAAGAGAAGGCAGAGAAGCTGAAGCAGTCCCTGCCCCCAGGTGAGTGGGCCCGAGGGACGGGGGAGGCCTGCCAAGATGTGGGAGGGTGCTGTGTGCCCGGCGTGCCTTAGATGGAGCTCAGACTCAGGAAAGCGGGTCATGTCTGTCTGGAGTGTCTGCTCTTGCCACGGGTGGTGCAGAGCCTCAGGGTTATGTCTGGTGCCGAAGGAAAGCTGGTAGCTCGCTTAGTGGGCACCACGCCTGCGACGTAGCGTGGGTCCTGGCCGTCAGCCCCCTTGCTCACAGGTGGGGGAACTGTTACCTGAAATAGGCCAGGAGGGCGTGTCTTCATCAAACACTGAATATTTTCACCGAAACCTCCCTGGTGGGCTGAAACCCTGAGCCTTGAACGGGAGCTCTTCAGCTTAAGTGGGAAATGAGAGCGAGCAGCTGTGTCTTCTGGCCGACTCACTGTCACATCTTTTTCCTCTAGGTTTGGCGGTGAAGGAGCTGAAATGAACCAGACGCTGTTTGAACTACATTAAACATTTTAAAATTCTGTGCTGGCCTTCATCTTTGAGGGTGGGGAGGGAAATGCCACCTGTAGTGGCTTCTGGTGGGAACGGGGTGTGGGGCCTCTGCACCCCTCATTTTGGGCCACCATAAGCTCAGCAGTCAGAGCCAGGTATTAGTCCAGGTTGGAAGGTGAATAGGTGTAGGGGGGCACACTGGGTCAGCAGTCAGAGCCAGGTCTTAGTGGAAGGAAGCCAGAACGCACTCTTGGGGAGCACAGTAGCCCTCGGGGTCTGCCAGGTTGATGGTTCCAAGACCTCGTGTATACCAAAACTCCCATGTACACAAGGCTCATATAAGAAGGTACAGCATTTGTGTATAGCTGACTCATCCTCTTGTGTATTTTGGGGTGTCTCTAGATTACCTAAAATGACTGATGCAGTGTAAAAGCCATGTGGTTCTTTTTCTCCAAAGAGTTTTCATCCATTGGTTGAACTCCAGGGATCCAGGGGACCAGTCCCACCTTGGAATTCAGGGTGGAGACTGCAGCTCTCACATCTGCCCTGTTTAGCTATTCCTTGGACACAGGGGTGGGTGTTTCTGATTCTTCAGAGTTGCAGGTGGTGAGTTAAGGAATGGCAAGAGTACAGGTGGGACCTTTAAGAAAAGCAAATAGTGTCAGTCTAGCAAGAGATGGGACAGGCAATCTTGAGGACGGGATTTCCTGAGGTGGGAGCAGGACGACCTGGAGGTAGAGGTGACATTCAAGGAGAGCCTGGTTTCTGCCTGAGCCTGAAGTAGGCAGTGGGTCTGGCCTTCCTGGCTGCACCATGAGCTTTTTATTACTAACCTCAGGGGCTGTGGGATGGGTCCTGTTGGGACACACCACAAGGTGGCGCTGTGCTGCAGTAAATGGTGACTGGGGAAGGTTTTATGAAAAGTCCACTCCAGTGACTCGGTGCTTTTCTTCCCCATGTCTGCTGTAAAAATTGCTGTGTGGTGTGTTCAAGTAGTGCCAGGTGGCCAGTCAACGTTCTAAATGTAAAGGTTACGTTCTTTAGTTTTTTAAGGAATTGTTTATTTTGGTCAAGGACTCGAACTGTAGTTGCCCCTGGGAGTCCAGCACCTTAACCACCGCACCACTTGCCAGCTCTAGGGTTAAGGATTTTTAATCTGGTCATGAATTTGGTGGGGGCTTTTGGTTTTGGGGTAGTATTTGCTATAGGACACATGAACTCAGGGACAGAAAGCAAGAAATAACCCCCCCGGGGGGGATGGCCATGCTGCAATCCTTTCTCCATTCTTGGGATCTTGGGCACGCACGCACCTGCACCCAGCGTGAATTAAGTCACCGGGTCCAGGACTCAAACCGTGGTCAACTACATGGAAGTCCAGCAACATAGACATTACACCAACTGCTGGTCCCAAATTTGGCTTTTATTTTTATTCTGCATGGGACACTCGTGAGAGCGCCCACAGGGGCCAGGTGCATCTCGATCACTCTGAGGACTGGACACATGCCCAGTGTGTTTTTCATACCTCTGTGTTCAGGACTTGTGCCACACCTGGAGGATCTGGCTGATTAGACCACTACCTAGTGGCTGGGCATGGATTTATCAAAAGGCTTGAGTTCTGTTTATTCTGGGAGAGGGTAGCTGTGCCAGGGCTGTTCAGTGGTCATGCCACATGTGGCTCTTCTGGTGTCTTCGGGCATTTACCAGTTGGGCTTCTGTGTCCTAGCACATAACCCAGAGGCCCATCCCCACTCCTAGGAGACAGGCTGCAGGGGATGGCCCCTTGTTGGGAGGTAGCTTTTCACGGTACATCCCAGTGTCACTGTCGCTCCGCCTCATTTGGGGCACTCAAGCAGTGGTACTAGAGTGGCCCTGGCTGGCCTAGGTTCTCCAGCTGGTGTGCACAGAGCTGCCAAAGCTGCATTCACGTGTCAACTCTGGCTAAGGGCACGGGAGACTACTGTTGTGCTCGTCCCTGGGAGGCCTGTCCCTGCCCTGCCTCTGCCCAGCTTGGCCGGCAGGTCTCCCGGCATGGCAGGTTTTGGTGGTCTGCAGGATGGCCCCAAGGGAAGTCAGTTTCTCCAAGATAGGCCTATGCACTTCCTCCCGGCTGGTGGCCACCCTGCGGCCCCACCTCCTGCCCAGGGGCAGAGCCCTCCCTTTTGAGTATCTGGCCTCTGGTGTTTTGCCCTCCCTCCTCCCTAAGCGGGATCCAGGTCACAGGTGTGACTAATCTCTTCCTAGAGGAATGGTAAATCCTTAGAACTTCCCAGACCAGTGGACATTGGTGTTTGGGAGGCTCGTGGCACGGAGGCAGCCTCGGCCTGCAGGAGGGGAGGCTGTGCAGGTTCCGGGCAGAGGACCACTGCAGCTGTACCACCTCACTTGGCATCACCGGTGCCCACCAGGCCCCCACGAAACCGCTGCCATGATGTGAAAGGCCAGGATCCCTCCAGGGTCAGTGGGACCCTCACCATCTGCTGGCTTCTATAGTGTTTTACATAGGGACATGTGAGCTCACCAGAGGGACACAGTGGAAAATCAGCCCCCAGGGGATGGCCACGCAGCAACCCCTTCTCCATTGAAAACGCACACACGTACCTGACGTGGCTTTCAAGCCACCAGGTCTAGGACTCAAACTGTGGTTAGCCACATGGAAGTCCAGCACCTTAACCACTATGCTACCTACTGGCCCCATCTGCCTCTCACCTACCTCCCCAGCCTCTCTTGTTTGCGCCTTCTTCCTAAAATAAAAGGATTTTTTTTTTCCAGTGAAAGTCGTTCGATTTAGTGTACAGCTCCGTGAATGTTGCCAATGTTCACCATTGTGTGACCACCACTGCAATCCAGAACGTTGTCATCACCCAGAAAAGTCCCCAGTCCTCAGCCCCTGGAGCCAGCTCCAGGAACTGAGCTCCAGTTCGGGTATTGACCTCCATAGCTCACAGGTGCCCCTCCTTCTGCTCCAGCCTGCAGTACACCCCTTATGGTCTGCGAGCTCTTACCTTGCTATTGCTGGAGAAGACGCCCCACCCTCCCTTACATCCATCCCATCGTGGGACACTGCAAAGTCCTTGACAAGGTGTGCTGTTCACTTTGCGCCTGGCCTGCTGGGCGTGGATGTTTCAGTCACCAGCACCGTGTGCCCTAGAACACAAACATGTCCCCAGCCTCCTGCTCTGTCCAGTCTCAGCTCTGGGCATGCGCAGTTGAGAAGGCTGCAGCCGGACTCCGGACCTGCAGGGGGTCCGGAAGCCCAGGACAGTTCCCGAGGGCAGGATTCCATCTCTGGCCTCCTGAGCTTTGACAGCACCAGGCATCCGTAAACCGCCCCTCGCAGCCACTCAGTTCCCCAAGGCAGAAACTCAGGAGGTCCTTCCGTTCCCTCCTCTGCCCCAGTCACCAAGTGCCTTAGGACCAGCACTGTCTCCAGCCAAACCGGACAGGTCGTCCCTGTCACTGCACCTCACCGGCCTCCAGGGCCTTTCGCCTGCCCTGGGGCTTGAACTCCTTCCTCCTGCCCGGGCTACGCCAGGCTTGTGCGGTGCACAGAACCGAGGGCCCCAAAGCCTCCAGCGCTAGGTGCATGTCCTGTGGGCTCCGCCAACTGCACTGCAGGGGTTTCGTCTGCTTTTGATCAACGGTGTGATTGTGTCTGGCCCTTAGTAGGTCCTCAATAAAAGTGCTGCTGAATGCTCAGGTCTTCCGATGCCCCGCCCTTCCTGGACTCATTGAGCTCCTGACCCCCACTACACAATGAAAAGGTCCCTTCCTCCAGGAAGCCGACCTTGTCTCCCCTGCCAGAAGCAGGAAACTGCTTTCAGTCCCCGCACCTCGTCCTCCCTCAGGGTGTCCTGCAGGTGGCATCAAACAGCTGTTGGGGCAGTGGGCAGGAACCACGTCTTTATTTCTCTTTGAGTCCACATGGTTTACATAATAGAGGTCCAACCAATGATTGACAATGAAATTAGGATGAGGGGCTGACGTTGCTCCCTTCCAATCCCAGTCTATCAATTTGCTCTAATGACAGGCCATCCTCCCAAGCCACAGCTGCCAGCTGTGCCATCGACACTTTATAATTTTTTCTTTTTATTTTTTTAGAATTATTTTATGGGGTTGGCAGGTGGCATGGTGGTTAGGGGCGATAGATTCACATATGGTCCGCGGTTCGAATCCAGGACCTGGTGGCTTGCTTTCTCATTTTCCCTCTGTCTCTCTCTGTTCAAATTAAAATAATAATGATAAATTAAATAATTCTTTAGATAATTATTAATTATTTATCATTATTATTTTAATCTGACGAGAGAGACAGAGAAAGTGAGAAAGCAATCTGCCAAGTCTGGGACCAGAACCGACGTGGCCCAAGTGAGAGTACAACACCTTGACCGCCATGCCACATGTTGGCCCCCAATACTTCATAGTCTTGATAAAAAGCCGGGGGACTTGGAGACTGAAACGGACTTCGCAGAGTTCAGGAAAGTTTTGTTATTCGTTTCCACCTTCTGCTCCCACTCCTTCCGTGGTGAGTTCAGAACGAGTCCCAGCCCAGAACCGGGAGGCTGTCTTTCTGGCCCGAACCCCTGGAGCTCGGGGGGGGGGACATGCCCCGTGCGGGCCGGAGGCGGGGTAGGAGCGCGCCCACGGGAAGGCGGGGCCTGGGTCGCGGTGGGCGGGACCTGGAGCCGGGGCTTGGGGGGGGCGGGGCCTGGGGGTGGGTCGTCTGGCTGCACAGCGTCCCGCCTCTCAGCCTGCGCCTGCAGCCGGTGGACAGCACCTTCAGACCCCGCGACGAGACGTACCAGGAGGTGAGTCTGCGCCGCCCAGACCCGGGCCACCGCGGACTCCCGAGAGCGGCCCACGCGCGCCGGGTCCCCGCACCATCCTCGTGCGGTCGGCAGCCGTTCTGTCCCAAGTGCTCTCAGACCCCAGCTCTAGCCCCGTAGCCTCGTCTCCTCTCGTCTCATTTCCCGGGGAACCCGTGGCCCTCGGGTCTGGGAGACTCCGGGGCCGGGAAAACGAAAGATCGGAGTTAAACGAGCTCTGGGAAGGGGAGGAAGGGCGCGGAGACCGCCTGCGGGAGGTAGGGGCAGAGCGGGCGGGGGTCGGGGCATCGCGTCGGGGTAATTCTGGTGCGAGAGGAGCGGGCACGCGGGGGGTGCCCCTCAGTTGTCCTCCTTCTGAGGTTCCGAGACCGGGCGCTCTCTATCTGGGGCCGTGTGGCCTAGGCAAAGTTCCGGCAGAACTGATTGAGTCTCCCGAGCGCGTCTCCGCAGCACCCCTCCTCTCCAGCCCCCGCCTGCCAGGCCGCCGCTGGGCCCCTCTGCAGGGCTGGGGGAGGCGGTGACGCTGGCTTCCCTCCTGCGCCCAGGGCACGCCGCGCGCGTTTGTTTCAGGGGTGGAAGGCGCCTTAGATCAGCCCGCGGCCTGAGTACCCCTGAGGGCTCACGGCCACCCTCTCTTTGTCTGCTTCGCCCTGGGCTGCCCCACCCCTGCTAGGCCCTGGATTTCGGGGTCTTGGCTTTTTGGCCAGCCGAGCCCCTCCTCCTTGTCTGTTCCCCACCCCTGCTCTGCCGGCCCTCCGCGTGAACAAAGTGGGGGCGCTCTAGCTCTCCCTGCCCAAAAAGCTACAGGACTGCCCCCCTAGCTCCAGCCCACCTTAGGTCCTGTCAAGTCCTCTGGGGCTTCTGGCCCAGCTGAGTCAGTTTCCTCTGTTGGGTCAAAGATTGAGGGACCGGGTGGCCCAGGACAGGCCCATTTGCTCAAAATACCTGCCCATTCCGGACTTTGACCCTGCTGGCCTCTGCCCTGCCCCTCTGCTCTGCCTGTCAAGTTCTCCTGGCGTGGGCAGGTCTGGGCCCGTCAGGGCCTCTCTGGGGGCTGTGCTGGGAGTCAGCTGTTAGCCTCTTCCCCCCAGGGCCTTTGTCCTGCAGGGCCCTGGGGATCGTTCGCCCGAGGGCGTGCACTGCCCAAGTCGCCAGTGACAGTGACCCGGAGTCTAATAATAGCCCCTAGTGTCCCTGCTGCCTTTAGGCCTGGGATGATGGTGCCTGCTCCCGCCCCAGCAGGAGGGGAGAAGGACCCCTTCATGGGGTTAGGCTGGACCTCAGTAGCCAGTTTGCTCCCCCATAGCCCAGCCCCCATTAGCTGCATTCCTCGAGAATGTGGTGCAGCCGGGGATAGCTCCAGGGAATCTTCCGCTCCCCACGAATGCATGAAAAGAGGCGGATATGATTTCAGAAACAGCTGTGCTGTCTGCTGTGAGTGTGTGTCCCAAACCCGAGCCCCGGCTCCCACTCCCAGGTCTCCAACCTCAGCTTTCCCTCTCCACTGGGGAAATCGGAGCTAGCTGGATCAGGAGGACCCCCTAGGAGTGGGTAGACGTGGTCCTGGCACAGCCCGATTCCACCGACCCCAGAGACGGCTCCTAGCTGGCCAGCACTGTGGCCACCCCCCCACCCCAGTCCCATGACAGGTGGCCACTGAGCCAGAGGGACACATTCACAGCTCTAAAAAACCCTCCGGCCCTCGCCCAGGGTCCTGACCCTGGCACACTTCGGGCATCCCCCTCCCACTGGCCACTGTCCCTGGGGTGCTGGCACCTGACCCTCCGCCCCGCCCCCACCCCTCCCAGGGCTCTAGGCAGGAGTTCTGAGTGGGAAGTCTGGCTCTGGGTGTTATTTAAGGCAGCTTCTATTTTGGTAAGTTCCCCTGTTGTCTGACCACGAGTCTCTCCTTTCCTCCTGAGCGCCAGAGTGGATTCACACCAGGGATCCGGCGCCTTCTGCTGGCCATCCTCTCAGTCCCCTGCAGACTCCCCTGGGACCCAGCCTGCATGACCACAAGAACCTGGGGGGACCGGAGGGAGCACTTGCTGAGGATGCTCTGGGGCCAGCCTTGAGGCAGCAGAGGGCCAGGCTCTGCATGAGCTAGTGGGGCTGGAATCCTGGTCTGTCACCCTGTGACCGCGGGCAGGTGTCTCAACCTCTCTGAGCCTCGCTTCCCTCATCTGCAGGTGTTAAATGAGATAGTCCCCGCAACATGCTGAGTGCCAGGGGGCGGGGTGCAGGTAGTAAGACCCAGGGATGCGGCTGCCTAGATGGATGGGCTTGGAGTCCAACAGCGTCTAAGCACTGCCCTTAGGCTTAGAGGAAGAGATCTCTTCACAGACGCTGGTCAGGGGAGACAGAAAACGGGAGCAGAATGGGCCTCCGCTTACTTCCTGAACTTCCAAGAGGACAGTGAGGCCCGTGGCACAGGGTGTGGCATGCATGCGTGTGTCTGTGTATCTGTCTGCTCCAGAGACCACAGTGAGGATGATAACAGGCAGGCTGGTCCTCCAGAGGCTCAGGGGCATGGCCGAGGTGTGTTTGAGATCTGGAAGGCAGAAGGGGCCTCAGGGGGGCAGGTCACCCGGTAAGCTGGGATCCCCTGAGGAATAAAGACTCCTACTCACTCTCTGGGGGCTTTTTTTTTTTTTTTAACTCACCAGGGGGCCAGAGAGAGACGGGGGAGAGGGAGAAAGCACCCCCAGTGGGGAGTGGTCACACTGCAATCTCCTCTCCATTTCTCCACCCCATAGGGATTTTTGCTATCGGGTGTGTGAACTTACTGGAGAGACAGTAAGCAAGAAATCACCCCCAGGGAGGATGGCCATGCTGCAACCCCTTCTCCTCCACTCTCCTCTCAGGATTTTGGGCGTGTACACACGTGCGCCTGGCATGAGTTTCAAGCTGTCAGATCTGGGACTTGAACTGTGTGGTCTGTCACACAGGAGTCCAGCGCTTTAACCACCATGTCGTGTGGTCTGTTACACAGGAGTCCAGCGCTTTAACCACCATGTCACCTGCTGGCCCCCCTGGCATGTTTTTTAAGCTTCCAGGGCCAGGATTCAAAATACTTGGTAGGCCTTGTGGGATCCTGCTCTCTTAACCCCCAGACCACAGAGCCAGCCCTTCCTGGGGGTCTCGGGAGCCGTGGAAGCCCCCAGTCTCCCTGATGGTGACCTTCTGGGTCACCCCCTCCCTCCAGTGGACTTGAACCCGAGTCCTCACAAAGGCCACTTGGCCTGTGTCACCTGCCTCAGGCCAGCAGAGGCAGGTGAGGAGCGAGGGGCAGGGTGGGTGGGGCAAGGAGCTCTGGCCAGGTGTGGCCATGTGTCTGGTGGGGAAGCAGCCAGGGCCTGGCAGCCTGAGTCTTGTCACCTTTGACGGTTGAGCGGCATTGGTGTGGAGACAATTCTGACCCCAAAAGATCCCGAAAGGACCGGCCTTGGTGGGCGCAGAGCTCTGGCCAGTGCCTGGCACTCTGCAGGTCCCCACAGTCACTGCTCTGGAAGGAGGAGGCCCCAGCTGGCCAAGGTCCACCGGGCCACACTAGGGACATCAGAGCAGGCACCTGGTATTAAACCCAGCAATGTCACCCTGAACGAGCCGCTTCAGATTCCTCTTGGCCTGGGCACCGGGTTACCTACGGGGGGACCTGGCGCTGATGAGCTAGAGCTCTTTGCGGTCTTTAAAATCTCCCGGGAACCAGCAATTAGCATAATGGCTATGTCGCTGGACTCCCACGTAGTCGACCGCGGTTCGTGTCCCGGACCTGGTGGCTTAAAACTCACGCCGGGCGCGTGTGCGTGCGTGCCCAAGATCCCGAGAGGAGAATGGAGGAGAAGGGATTGCGGCGTGACCATTCCCCCTGGGGGGTGATTTCTCGCTTTCTGTCTCTATGTCTCTCTCTGTCTGTCTGGCGAGCGCACACGCCCTACAGTGAAAATCTCTCAAAAAAAAAAAAAAATCTCCCCAGCCCCGTGCGAGCATTGGCTGTTGCCGCTGGCAGCGCGGAGAGCCCCACGCATGCCTCCTGTTCCACCTGGGCCTGGCCTGGGGCAGGGGGTCAGCTGTCCTTTCGGGACACGTGTAAGGAGGCAGAGACGCCAGGTTTTACACACTGCCATGCATTTTCACTTGCGGCTCTGGGTGGCTCCCTCAGTCTCCTCCAAGAATTGCAAGTGTGTTTTGCCAGCTGGTGGCATGTGGTGGTTTGGGCAGCTGGATCCCACATGGCCAACTACATAGTTCAAGTCCCAGACCCAGCAGCTTGAACAAGCTGGGCATGTGTGCGTGTGTGTGAGCGTGCACACACACGCGTGCAAACCCAAAATCTCAAAAGGAGGGAGAAATGGAAACGGACAAATTGCAGCATGACCGTACCCCATGGGGGTGCTTTCTCACTCCCTCTTTCCAGCAAGTGCATGTAGCAAATTTTAAAAGTCAAATTAAAAATTCCCAAATGTGCCCTCGGGCCAGGGTAGGGGACAAACTCGGGGTTGGCCTGAGAACTGCAGGACTCCCTGCTGCTGGCTTAGGGACAGGTCTGAGGGGGGAAAGACCTGGCAGCCCGCCCAGCCCGGTGACATGGATGACGAGCTCAGGTCGGAGAAGCCCCATTCACCCAGCCGCGCCCTGAGCACTGAGTCACCGTCATCAGACAGTCACGCTGGGCCCGAGAGGGGCTTAGCCCTTCCCCATCAGCCTGGGGGAGGCCTCTCCCTCTGAGTGCTCCTAGCTCTCCTCACCCTGACCTCTCCACGTATCTCCTGGGGGTCTGGCTGCAGTGGTCACTGCTGGGTCCTGGTCTGGGGCTGCTGGCTCCAGGTCTCAGCTAATTCAGTCCCCGTGCTGAGGGGAGAAGCAGAGCCTGGGCACTGACCTGGGGCCATGGCAACACGGTGGTAGGGGTTGGTGGACCAGGCGGTGCTGGTGGCTACAGGACAAGAGGAGGCCTAGGGTGGGTGGAAACTGCCCTTTCTGAGCTCTGTCCACCAGAGCAGGAGGCCCTGGGAGCAGCTCTGGGCTCCCCCTTCCCCTCCTCCTCACCGTCCTCCCTCCGTCCCCCACCCCATGCACTCTGGGACTCACAGCCTTAGTCAGAGGCGGGGCATAGTTGCTTGTTAGAGAGTAGCAGGTGACCAAGGTGGCCCTGGGAAGTGGCCCTGGTTAGAGTCCCCTCCCAGCCTTCCTCTCCTCCCCACCTTCTTCCCTTGGTCTTCCTCTTCTCCTCCTACCTCTTTCTCCCTGCACCTCCGCCTTGTTCCACTACCCCCACTTCCTGCCCCTGTACCTCCGCCTTGTTCCACTACCCCCACTTCCTGCCCCAGTACCTCCGCCTTGTCCCACCACCCCCACTTCCTGCCCCAGTTTGGGTTCTCCCTGCTCCCGCTCTGCTCCCAGGAGGGTTCCGGAGGGATCCTGCTAACAGAAGGCGTGAGTGAGTTTGGGTTTCCCAGGCTTGGCCTTCCCGGGCTGGCCGGCATTATCAGTAACCTAATTGAGGCCAGCTGCCCAGCTTGGCCAGGCCCCAGGCTGCAGAATCCCAGGGCGCTAGGAGGACTGGGCTTGTGGGAGCTCAGGGGCTGGGGGAGGCTTGAGAGTGTGAAGCAGGGGAGTAGGGGAGCCTTCCACAGGGATGTGGCTGGGCAGGTCTGAGAAATTGCAGTGGCACCTCCCCACATCTTCAGAGGATCCTGCTTGCTGGGTGGGGACACAGGGTGGATTTGGGGGACCTTCCAGGAGGCACCCCAGAAGCACAGGGCAGCTGAGCACAGCTGGATCTTAGCCTGTCTCCCATCTGCGTGGGAGGTCTGCCTGGGGGCGTATTGGTCTGGTTTTTTCATTAGTAATAACTTCCAGGAGAGTACACAAATGCACAGCTCAGTGAATGTCTGCGTGTGCAGGGGGCCGGGGGGTGACCAGCTCAAAGCAGACTCCTGATCCCAGGGGGCACCCCTCCTGTGGTAGCTGCTGCTCACACGCTATTGCCCTAGATGAGCCTCCGCCTTTGTACTTCTGGGGCATTAAGCCATGTAGTCCACCACTCTGTGTCTCTGAGATTCATTCAGACCACTGTGTGAAGCTGCAGTTTCCCTTTTTTGTGACTGCATAGTATTCCATTGTGTGGCCCTAACACATTGTATGTATCTGTTCTCTTGTTGGTGGACACTTGGTTGTGTTCAGAGCTTGGCCTTTACTGTTGTTAATCTGTGTGTGACTATTTCGGGGGCACAAGCCCTCTTTTCTATAAAGTGGAATTACTGGGGCATGGTTTGCATGTTGCACAGCAGTTTGCAAATTGTTAAGGGGATCCCTGGCTTTCAGAGAGGAGCCTTGGAGCCCAGAGGGTGTGGCCAGGACCAGGAGTGTGTCTCTGTCCTCACTTCAACCAGAGCGGATCTGCTCAGTGAGTCAGTTAAAAGAAAAAGTTAAACTGCTGAAAAAAAGTCGGGGAACTTGAGTTGTCCCAATCCAGCACTCCCCTGACTTTCATCGCCCTGGGTCCACTCTAGGTGCAATTGATGCCCTGGGTCTGGGGTGGGGCCCGAGGGGCCGCGTGCCGAAGAAGCTCCTGGAGACCTCGCGCTGCAGGTCCCGGGCTGTGAGCCTCACCATGAGGGCTGTGGTTCTTGACCTCCTTGGCCTGGGGCTCCAGGGTCTCCAGTGAGGGGACAGGAACTTCCTGCCGCCTCACTGTCCGGGCTACAGGCCGTGTAGTAAGTGGGCCAGGCAGGTGGACACCCAGCCCAGCCACACTGAGGACTCCCGGGGTGTGGGAAGGCTGAAGTGTCAGCCCACCTGGCCCCATTGTCCCAGCCAGCAGGAGGGAGACGTGCCCCTGGCAGTGGCGGGGACCTGTTTGTCCTCGCTGGGGGAGAAAGCCGTTTTCAGTCAAGCCATCTGCCCTCGTCCCAGATGGGCCATCTTTCCCGTCCTCTTCCAGGCTGTCCCCACCACTCCTGTGTCAGTCCAGGGTGACCAGCGGGCAGCCCAGGTCAGGCCCCCAGCTCCACCCAAGTGGGTCCTTGCCAGGCTAGGCTGTGGAGCAGAGAGGGCTCCGGGGATTCTGGACCGGAAGCACCCGGGACACGTGGGGAACAGGAGAGGCCATCGTGCAGGAGCCTGACGGAGAGCCATGTCAGCCCTGCTGGCGGCCACCAGTCCGGTGCCATCTGGAGTCCATCTGGCCACACCAAGAGACCGGAGGGTGAGGAGCGGTTCCAGCCTCCTGACGGTCGGCAGCGCCCGCCGCAGGGCCCTGGTGTGCTGGGCGGCCCCAGGAGGCCCTGCAGACTCTGGCTTTGCCTCTGTGCATCCATGAGGCTGCAGCGGGGCTCTGCAGGCAGCACGGCCTGATCCCACCCCAGCCAGGACAGCTTCGCTTCTCTGAGTGGACCCACCACCTGGAGCGCATTCCCTTCTTTCTCTCTCTTCTTTTTTTAAAATTCCCGGGTGCACATGAGCTCGCCATGAAAAGACGGAGAGAGGGAGAAGCACCCCAGCGGGGTAAATGGTCACACACAATCCTGCCCCTCCTGTGGGGATCTTTCGGGCACATGTGCACACGTACGTGCCCAGCATGATTTTTGGGGTTTTTTTGTTGTTTTTTTGTTTTTATTTAAATTTGACCAGTAAGTGACAGAGTGAGAGAGAGAAAGAGAGAGGGAAAGTGAGAAAGCAAGCCTCTAGGTCAGGGACTCACTGCGGTCGTCCATGTGGGAGTCGAGCGGCCCCAACCACCATGCCACCTGCTGGTCCCCCCAGCATGTTTTTATAGCTGCCAGGGCTGAGACTCAAACCGTGGTCAGTGGTGTAGGCTCTGGTTCATTTAGCCAGCAGGCCAGGAAGCTGGCTCTGTTTCATGCACCCCCAGGATAGAGCGCATGTGCACCCATGGGACAGCAAGCCAGAGTGAAGGAGGAGCGCCCCCCACAGGGTCCGGACATGCCAGCATCCTTTCCCCCAGTCCTCCAGCCATCGAGTCTGGGCACAGACAGCTCAGGCTGGCCAGACCGGGATCACCGCAGTCACCGTGCAGCTCTGACCTCCCTGAGCAGGCGTCAGCCAAGCCAGCTCTGGAACGGGCTCTGCATATTCTGGGTGTAGGAGGGCAATCAGGCCAGGGCGGCGGAGCCCCGTGCACAGAAGAGGTGGCAGACAGGCCAGGTTGTCTCTGCCTGCCCTGTGTCAGATCCCCTCGGCCTCTGGGTGCTATGGTCTGCAGCGTCCCTCCTTGTCTCCCCCCCCCCAGCACGTAGCCCATCCCAGCCTTGTGGCCCGCTGTCAAGTCCTGCCTCATGCCTCAGGTGGCCCAGAGCTTGCCATCAGGCGGGCCCACACCTTCATCTGGTACAGAAGATCAAGATCAAGTCCGGGACCCACCTGGAGCAGCTCCCCCGCCTCTCCCCTCAGCAGGCCCCCTCGCCCCCCCCCGCTCTCCCGTCCTCCTAGCTCTATCACCCCTCTCCATGTGCCCCACGTGGGACACCCTGTGGCTCAGGGCAGGGAAGGAAGGACAGACAGAACAAGGGCTGCTGGCAGACAAACCATCCATCCTCTGTTCCTGCACCATGGCCCAAAGCAGGGCTCCGAGGGCTCCACAGTGGGGCACATCCCGCCGCCCCCGCTGTCAGATGAAATGCTGACGCCACTCTCCCCCTCCAGTCGCTGCTGTTCCTGGGGCTGGTGGCCGCTATCTGCCTGGGCCTGAACCTCGTCTTCCTGGCGGTGTACCTGGTCTGCGTGTGCTGCTGCCGGCGGGACGGGGCCGGGCAGACCAAGCAGCGTGGCTCCTGCTGCGTCACCTGGACGGCCGTGGTGGCCGGGCTCCTCTGCTGGTGAGTGTCCCCCCTCCACGGGTCCAGCCTGGAAGGAGAGGGTGAGAAGCCAATGGTCTGGGCCTGAGCGGTCCGTGTCCTGCTAGGGTCAGCCCACGACGTGACACCCCTTCCCCTGCCCCCGATAAGCCCCAGGCAGCTCGTTCATGGTCAGCTGGCCACGTTCTCCCCGAGCTCTGGCTACCTGATGGGAAGGTGTGTCCCCGGAATGAATAGTACCCCTTTTCTGGCCGAGCCTCAGGTGTGAGATGCCTGGGCTGATGACGGGGTCTCAGAAGGGTCTCCCGAGGGGCCCCCAGCCCTGCCCCAGAGCTTGTGCGGCTCCACAGCCCGGCGGCCCCGCAGTGTCCTCCCAGAGCTCACCAGCAGCAGCCGCAGCCAGTCGGCATCTCGGCTCTCTACTTGCCCCGCCCCTCCCCCGCCCCCACC